GAGGGGAAGACCAGAAAAGATTAAGAGTTGCCAGCAGGAGGGGCCAGCTTACAGATGATGCCCAGCAGCCCGGGAGGGGAGAAGCCACCCTGTGGCACTGATGGTGTGGCATTAAGCAAACAGGGCAATGTGGCCACACTGCACACAAGGTGGTGTTTATTTCCCCTACCATTTTCCACCCACTGGGAACTGGCTGTGTCATCATCTACCTTGCACCAGGGCTGCCAGCCCGTGCCAAGGCCGAGTTCTTGTGTTGGCTAATCTATGGGCTGCATGGCCTGGGGAGGGCAACTCCTCAGATATTTCCTACAAAGGTCAAAAGTGCTACCCCCCAAAGACTGCCCACCTGGCATTCATGTGGCTTTTCTCCCGTGTGGACCAGGTAGTGTTTCTGCAGGTGGGCGAGCTGAGTAAAGCCTTTGTTGCAAGTCTGACATTTGAAAGGCCGTTCTCCACTGTGCACTCGGAGGTGGACCTGGGAAGAAGCCACATGTGTTAGCTCGGCTCTCGGTGGCCCGGAGGACCCGGCATATAGGATGCAGAGATCTTCAGAAAAGCATCGCGATAAAGTCTTATACAGAACAGATAAAGCCCGAGGCTTTGTTTTGTTTGTGCTAAAGGAACAGAAGCTACAGGCCAGCAGGGACTTTCAGCTGATCTTCTAGCGCAAACCCCGTGTTTTCGTCATTCAGAGGAAACTCAGGAGAGGGGAAGTCACTGTCCAAAGCCACACAGAGCCAGAAGCGCCAAAAGCAAAGTCAAACCCACATCAACGATTCCCAACCCGGATCTCACGCTATTGAAAATGAAATTGATAAGCTGTGGAAAGCGAGCTAAATACAAACATGCCTAACACAGGTACAGACACTAGCAGACAGGCAGACTGCTCTGCTGGGAGGCCTACCTTCAGGTTTGAGAGCTGGCCAAAAGTCTTGGAGCAGACATTGCATTCATACTTAATCTTGCCATTCTGCTTCTTGAGGGGATAGGGGAGTGTCTTGTAGCCAGTCATGTTCCTTTTATTTTTTATGAGATTCATGGCCTCATCACTGCTGGGGGCTGCTGCCATCGCTGCTGAGGTAGCTTTGGGCTGCACCACGTGTTCCGCCGTGGCAGCTGTGCCCGCAGTGGGCGACCCACTGGTGGGGCTGCACACCTTGTCCTTCATGCTGGCGGCGGCCCCGGTGAGGGAGAAGGCACTGCGGGGCGTTGGGACCAGCACCTCTCCGGGATGTTCCGGCTGCAGCAACCTCCGAGCTCCTTCCGAGGGCAGCGAGCTGGGCAGAGTGGGCGGGTTGAGCATGGGGTGAGGCAGGCTGCCCCCACCGAGGAGGTTACTGTAGACGGGGTACAGCCTGGGGAAGAGGCCGAAGTTGCTGATGCCATTGATGCTGCCCATGGTGCTCAGGCCGTTACAATTCATGCCGTAGGGGGGCAAGAGGAACCGGGGGTAGTGGGCGTTGTAGGAGGGGATGAAGGCTGGTGGGAGGTGGTGGGGAGGCGCGTATCCAGGGTAAGCACCCAGACCTTCAGAGCTGTAGGGCGCCTTCAAGTAGGAGTAGGAGTCCCGGTGATCTTGAGGCCCCGGAGCCAGAGGCGACACGGTGTTCCCTGGGCTGCTGTGAGGACTGGAGCTTTTGAGGCTTTGGTCGGGGCTGCTTCTTGCTGAGGGACTGGGCGTCGTGGAGGACGGGATGGGGGAGTGAGGGATGTACGTTGGCCTCTCCATCCCATAGGCCAGGGAAGCTTTCAAAAAGTCTTCCGGGAGAGGGGCCCGGATCGGGTACACGACCCGGGGGTAGAAGGGCATTTCGGGGCTCCCGTTCTTCCTGAAGTCGTCCGTGTCCTTTTCTGAAGTGAGGGGTGAAATGTTCGAACGGTAGAAGTCCTTTTTTTTGGAGGGGCTGGAGTCCAATTTTAGGATTTCTTTCACACTGTACTCTCTCTTTGGGGCGTTCCTTGGGCAAAGGTCATTTTTCTCAGTGCTCTGCTGCTTTGGATGGCTCTGTGCTTGTGCTGAAACAGAGAAGAAGGGACGATTACTCAGAGGGGTACAGAGAACTGAAGTGAAATTGCCCAGGTGGCTCTCTCCGCGAGAAAACCTGAGCACCAGCTGGCCACGCGCGAGACACCTGGTTTCTCGGTGCCTCTCATTCTAGAGGGCCCGGCCCCTCGCAGCCGCTCCATTTCCTTCTCAGCACCGTGGGGCACTGGCAGCATCGGTCGCTGGAGCGAACAGCGCCCGTTAGGTTACTTTGTTTCCACTGACAAAAAACACCCCCTTATGATGGAAAAGTGCTGTGCAGGCTAGAACAGGAGCGCTCCCATTAAAATGGGGTGGAAAAATACTGGGGTGGGGGATGTCGTAGGTTAATAAATGCCATTCTGAGAAAGTCAGCACACCCTGCGAACTAGATGTGAAAGATTAAGACTCATTTCAAGTAATAAGCAGTCATCAATTTTCACCTTCGTTCTCATTTAATACGAATTTGATAAAACCCTGTTCAAAACTGTCTGTGCCAAATAGACAGATTAGAAACACAGATGCCACCCCTTCCCCTCGATTTGCTGACAACACAAGAATTTCACCACGGCTCTGTCTGGTCTACCCAGGCTCCCAGCCACGCTGTCCCCTGGAATCACAAGGCATGACACCGTCCTCTGCCAAACCACAACAGGCACTTCCCGAGCCAGTCCAATTACTTAGAGCACCAAAGAAAACAGGCAGCCAAGATGAAAGCATCTATTCCCAAAGCCGGCACACTGTGACTCGGTAAATATACTATTTAGGGACAGCAGCCACGAGGAGGACACTTCCAGACTCCCCAGGCCCTTGCCAGCCCTGCCTCCAAACACACAGCACAGACGGTGCCTTCAGGAAAGCACCGGTCGGAGCAGGGAAACCAAAAATTCCCTGCTCAGCCTGCCTTGGAAAGCAAAAGTAAAACATAGGCTGCTGAGCTGGAGTTCAGGTTCTTGGAGGGCAGCCACTCCAGTGTGAACACCTGCCGCAGCAGTGGCAGCAGACTGAAGGCATCAGCCACGAGAGGCGGGAGAGCTGGTGGGGATCAGGCTGAGGCCTCCGTAAAGTATCATTCATCATCTTTTTTAAAAAAAAGGGTCCCTGTTTGATTTAACTGAGAAGGAACTCCAGGCTTGACATCCGATAGGTCTAGAAATGAGCTCTGTGGAACTCCAGATTCTGAGCTCTTCAAATCCATTCTCTAGGTTGACAGGCTGGAGGGATTCGATTCCCGCGTGAGAGCCCCTCGGAGAATGTTATCTGCGGCTGGCTGTTATCAGTGACTCCGGGTGAGCCAGCGGCCCCAGAGTAAACACAGCCAAGGCACTATCGGGGAAGATGCTGATGGGGGCAGTGATGGAAAGCTTGTTGAGGGAGAGGGATTTCTGAAGCCACTAAACCAAAATAAATATCCCTTTATCAGGCCAATATCGATCTTTCAGTGAGGCCCAGCAGGCAGGAAGTTCAAATTGTCACTTTTGTTTTTTAAAGCCTAAATGGTAAAGGAAGATAGACAATGGAGTTGGAAAACTGATAGGTGAGACATCTATCTCTCAGCCACAGGAAGGAATGTTAGGCAGGCTGAGAAAGAGCGACTCAGAGGCATCCCCATAGGCCCACGTTAACAAAAAACGCCATCCGAATAAAATGAAATACAGACACTTCACCATCATCATTTTCTGCCATTTTTACATGGCAAATTACATCTAAGTCTCTTCCTTTTTCCGGCGGCTTTAATACTCCCTCAATTCTAAAATTCAATAAATTAAAGCGAAAGCAAAGCGTTTAGTCCAACCATAAGCCTTGTTCTTCCTATTTAGTTAGGTGTTCTTACTAAGCACTTCAACAATTCATTTATTGAATTGAAAGAAGCTAATGATTTGGCCAACAAACAAGAAAGTTGTAATTCATCATTTTCTAGGTAAAATATTTAACACAGTGTCCGGCATATAGTAAATCCGCAATAAATGTTTGCTATCTCACATGCCTTTCTAAAAACAAATTTATGTCTTATTCCAAAACAATATCCAGAGGGCAGGGTCGCCCCTCCTGAGGAGCTGTGAGGTGGACATCATGCCATCCACAGAAGGCACATTTTTAAAATCATCCTTGGCAGCTGAGTAATCAGGGGAGCTGGTGTCATTTCTGAATCTGCCACTCAGCAGCAGCTTGAGTTAACATGAAAAGGAAAATCAAGATCTGTTTTTGTTCTTAAATCTTACATGGCTGTAGGCGTACAGAGTCATTTCAAGAGTGAACTGCTTCTGAAGGCTCTGAATGGCTTAATTATGCCGACTCACATTTTCGATCTATAATAAGAACCCCCAAGACTATAAGAAAGAACCTAGAAGTTCTGCAATAGGCAAAACAAAGTCTGTTTTCAACTGAAACTGAGAAAGCAGATGAACATTTAGAAGTCTATAATTTGGTCAACTGTTTTCTAGATGGGTTAGTAAGATAGATAGAAAAAAATACCAAAAAAACTTGGGAGGGGTAGGAGTTAAACTTAATAGTTCCAACTCCTTTTATTTTGTTTGTTGTTTTTTTTTTAAATGCCAATTTGTGATTTCTGAATACTTATTTTTCTTGACCTCAGTTTGCATCAAATCTCTTCTCAACATTCTACCAGTTGAGCCATCACTGCCACTTACAGCCCTCATGGGGATTCTGGCATGGGCCTTTTTTATGCTTGATGCATGGAAACCCAACACAACTCACTTGCAGACACAATCTACCTGTTAGGCCTGATGAAATAGTGGAAATTTTCCTGATCAGAGTCTCAATCATCAGTTACCACGCCTAAGACAACTGGTTTCACAATCGGCAGTAGGAGTCACTTGGCTTAATGTGACTAGTATTGTTACCTCTCATTCTCTACTATGAATACTGGACAATAAAAGGGAACTTGGGAATGTTAGACCATCATTTAGGAAAAAATTCTGCATAAACATAAGGGATATCTGAGGGAAGAAAGGTGTCGTTTCACAGTACACAAGAATGTTGCTTCTGAACACAACGGGTATGCCCGAGTCTTAAAATACTGTGCAAAACTTTTCATTGGGGGATAAAAATGCAAGATTTTAAAAACCTTTCTTTGATTGGCAGAGAGTGAGGGAGGTATGCAAAATCACTGGTTGGTACAAAAACACTGGGATGCATCACCTCAAATGGAGTCTCTGTTTAAATAGAAGAAAACAAAGTATTTCCCTGAACCCATGAATAATTTAGCCCAAGGACTGTAAGGAGACCCCCAAGAAGAAGTGACTTGCTGTGCTGAGAAAGTTAGGAGGAGACTGCCTCTCTTCCATGAAACGCCCTACTGGAACATACGCTGTCTTTTCCCGCCAGGCCCTGGGTACGAGGCCTGGCACATACAGAGGGTGAAAAAGCTGAGTATCTCCTTAGATGCTTGGCTCTGGGACAGGACAGCGATTCTTGGGAGCAGTGAAGAGAAATGAGGGAAAAGAATGGCCACCTTCGCCTAGGACCTGATTGTACCCATCATGCTCATGTTGGAAGCCAAACATTCTAAGGCTTCTTCATGAAGCTCCAGGTGCATTGTGTGTGTGCGTGGGCACGTGTGTATCAATGGGCCACAGACACAAGCCTGTGGGGAGGAGATCCATAATCTTTTATATTCCCCGTTTTTTCAGCAAACTATAAATAGTCTTGAGATCATAAGGAGATGAAGTAGACTTGTGGATGAGCACTAAATAGCTACAGAGTTGGATTATACCTGACTAAGATAAGTTGGTCCTAGAACTGAAGTAAAAAAATCTAATTTATGCGAATATTAATATTATTCCAAAAGTCTCAAAGATGAAAGTGTGAACTAAAACAATTTAGCCTTCATATAAAGCAAAAGGGAAACCATATCAATGATTGATGAAACTGGGTGAAGTGTATCTGGGAATTCTTTGTTCTATTCTTGCAACTACCCCTTAAGTTTGAAATGATGTCAAGTTACAAAAATTTCAGCATTTAGATGTTAAAACTTTTAAACCAAAAGGTCTAAAATTTTACTTTAAAAATTTAAACTTAATTTAAGAAACTGCTTTATTATGTGGCAGTGTAACTGAGAACACACAAGCATAGTTACAACAGGTTGGAATGTTATGGTAATTCTTAAATCATTCATAGAGGTCACCTGAGAAGGACTAAAATGAGGTAGACCTTTGCAGAGAGGGAAGGACAGCAACTTTCACCAAATAAAAAAGTAAAGGCTTATAAATCTAAGGAATTGAGAATTTGTTATGATAAAGTGATAAGTGGCTACTTTAATACTGATCAGGTGATCAGATAAAAGGAAGCTAAAATGTAAAATCTGTTATTCATTTAGAATAATATTTGAAAAATTACAGCTGCGAATTTTTCTAGAAGCAATCTCTTATGTTCCACATCAGACCATAACTTAATAACCAAATGGGCATCTCTACAAGATTTCAATGCATATTTTAAGCACTGACAAATTACCACAAACAAGGGGAGGGGGGGAGGGTGCCTTTTCCCTGCCAAGTCAGCCTGTCAGAACCAATCTCTATCTTACTCCTCCCTGCCCCCTTTCGGATAGATTAGAATTGGACATATATTTCTTCTTGTGACTTTCTGAATTAAACACTCAAAGTAGCTCTTAATATTTTTTTAAATGATCAAGTTTTATAATAGGAAATAGGCACTAAAATTCATCCCTCCCCTCCTTCGGAGGGCCTGGTGTAAGCCACCTACTTGGCCCAACCGATGAAGCCATATAATTAAACAACATGTTATTAGCTCAGAGGGGCAGGACTGACATGACTGGCATTTAACATTTTTTTTGTTCTGTAATCCACTTACTGAGATTCATCATTGTCAGCTCTCCAGGATAAGGGTAATGCAGCCTTTCTGCGAAGTCCCGACAATACCACACAAGCAGCTCCTGGTTGGCAGGAATGGGTTTAATGGTGTAGAAGTAGACGTTCATCCCATTCTGGCACGCAGCCAGGTTTTGCTCTTGGGCGGAGTGCGCCGGATTCACGTAGCGCATCCAGTTGCTTTTCTCCTCGTTGAAGCCATCGATGAAGTGGTGAAGCTCCCCTCTGGAATAGATCTGTCCAAAAGAGAAGACAGACGGGTTGGAGAGTCAGCCCCCGGCACCTCTTAAGAATCAACACAGCAAGCACAGGTGTGACTTCTGGTCCCCTATCACCTAGCTAGAAAAAGAAGCAAATCAGTTTGGCCTGAGTAGTCTTGAATCAGCAGAAATAAGGGCAGAAGCAGGTAAGGCACATTGTCAGTTACCTTTTCCATCTCGGTTTTATCGTCTTCTCACGTATGGGGGGAAAATAACAAAAGGGTGAAACCCAACATTTAAGGAGCTGCCTCAGACGAATGAAAACAGCCGAGTCCTACTTTTGCCACAGCAGCGAATGACAAATGGGTGATGCTATAAACTGGAGTTCCGATTATGCTGACTTTTAATGCTTTGAGTCACTGCGTAGAAGACAAGCCGACTGAGTATGTCAAACCGAGTCTCTCCACTTTTTCTATGGCCTCTGTACTTGCCATTTCCTACACCCCCGCCCAAGGCTTAAACTATGCAAACATCCTCCACCCCCAAGCCTCGGAGTCCAGAAGTAACACTTGTTCATATAAATACTTGGAACCTTGCCTTTTTGTGGAAGCACTGGGTGGGGCAAAGGTGAACTTCACCTGGCATAACAAAGTGAAGGCTGGGACAGGAGCCAGAATCTGACAGTCTCCCAAGGAGTCACTTTTCCTCTTGATAAACATGTTCAGTCTTGCCAAAGGAGGGGAGAGGGAACCCTCTTATCTGTGAGGAGGTTGGCTGAAACGCCACTCACAGAGCCATAGGCATGTGCTTTTGGGAAAAGAACAGGAAGACACCATGTTGTTCTTTAAAGGCAACGCATAAAGCAGATTTCAAAATCTGCCTCGTAGTAACACTACTTCTGTTTGACAGATGCACACAGGCCACTCGGGGGGAAAAGGCAGAGGTAAGAACAGGGAAAATCAAAATATACATCCTTACTGAAACTGCTCCATCATGAAACTCCTTACCCTTCCACAGAAAGCTGCTCTCTCTCCCTCTTTTTAACCTGTACCACACCTTTTTTTCAGACCTAAGACATTTCCTTACACAGCTACAATCAATACCTGGTCATCTGCAACTTGTAGTCTCCAAGCAGTGGGCCACGGCTCGGACCGGAGAGCAGGTTACTGCTTTGTTCTCAGTCACATACTATGTGAGTCTGTAAATTGATTCTATATTTCGCTCAAACGTTATCAGAGATAAAAAGGAACTCTGTCCCTTTAACACGGGCAGTAAACACCAGAATCACTTTCTTTTAAGAGTAACTTCCTGTAAATTGTGAAGGGGGAAATACATGTGGCTTCATCAAAGCAGCTTGTGAGAGCGTTTGCGGTGTGTGTTGTTAAGAGAAAATGGAACAAGGCTGGGTGAATTCTGCTATCAAGAGGGGTTTTCAAGTTTGTTTACTCTGATGTGCAAACTTCCAGGAACATGGGGTTCCATCGCTCTTGCACTCTTCGTTGGGCGGAAACTGCTTTCTAAAGCTACGGGTATGTTGATTCCAGTCAGCCTTCCACAGATTACAATTTACTGTGTCCTCATTCAAAAAAGAATTATTGATGCCATGAAGTCACGCACAAACACACACACGCGAAAATACACATACGTCAAGTGAACACTGCTCCCTGTCGCCTCACTACATTTCCATACATTATCAAGAAGATTAAAAAGTGCTGACTCATAGTACAGTTACAAGAAATGTCACTGGTTTCTCAACTTGCACATCCCTTCTCTTCTCTTTGACTGTGTCATTTGCATGAAACTTTTTTTCTTTCCTCAAACAGATGTCCATATTCCTGCCAGCAAAATCAGGATGCTTTTAACAACATGTGGGAAGTCATCTCCTACAACATCCTTTGTATGTGAAAGACTGATTCAAACAAATCCCCCCAAGGACAGCATTTTAGTTAGAGTGAATCGTGAATGAGCCAGGGAACTGGGAGAGTGAGAGGAGGTTCTTAGGTGTTTCTTGCTTTTGTCAAAATGACCAGGCATTAATGAGACTTATGCTAGCTTCTCTTCATTCAGACCACCGAATGCAGAATTATACACCTCTATGTTTCACTTCTGAAAAGATTTTATTGGCAATAAAGGCAAAAATGCACTAAGATTTTTCCCATTGTAACTCATGTATTTTAAGCATGAGAAAGTTATTAAATAAAAATTGTGAGCACACAACTCTCAGAGCTCTCATCTGCTTGGAAAATAGAATACTAGATTTCTAAAAACACAAAACTTCCAGGCTTTTGAAAAAAGTCTTGTTTGTTAGGAACAGCTTCTGAATGAAGTGTTTTATCAAGATACTTGTCTAAAAGGTAGAAGTGTTCTAGATAAATACTGGTCAAACTAAGTGTAACCCAATTTTTATTGTTACCATGCAACTGTTTCTGAAAATAATTCAAACAATGATTCCCCAATTGTTGTGTGCTTCTTATGCAAGTATGTATAAAAATTTGCTTTTAAATTTTGTAAGAATATCTTTATTTTCTAATTGAGGAAATGAAATATCCTGCAGAAAGCTATGGGAAGATGAAAAGCAGCCCAATTTTTTCTTGTTCACTCCTAATTCAGAGTCTTTTACTCAAGGATTTCATCTAATTAGTCCACCTCTGAGGTCCTTTCTAACCCTGATATTCCAAAGGAAATTGTATTGGCTAGACTTTCGGACTGGATGTTTTAAGAAAGTTTATCATCTTGCATGATTATAAGCATTTCCCCAAAGCTATGGACGTAATCTACCTACTGGCAAATCCAATAGTTTTATGATGCAGACAAATTTAATGTGTTCTTGTTAATTTCAGAGAGAGGACAGGGAGAGAGAGAGTGAGATAGAAACACCAATGATGAGAGAGAATCATTGATTGACTGCCTCCTGCACACTCCCCACTGAGGATCAAGCCCACAATCCGGGCATGTGCCCTGACCGGGAATCGAACCATGACCTCCTTGGTCATAGGTCAACACTCAACCACTGAGCCATGACGGCCAGGCTGGTGCAGATGAATTTAAACAGGACTAGTCCTGAGGTCCATCTCCATTCCCCTAGTGCTTTCTTCTATGACTAGCATTCCTGAATGGCATTTTTTTCAAGATTATTCATTTATAATTATTCTTCCACTCAATTAAAGTTAACTCAGCAAGAAATCTAGAAGAGGTGAAATCTAAGACTTGGTGACTCATTACTACTTCCTTGCAGAGAAATGCAAATGAGCCTACCCTTAAAGCAAGTAACAAACTGTTTCCTTTCTTCACATAGCTCAATGAATTGCAAAAATTAAGATTCACATATAGTCCATAGCTCCATCCTAATCACCTATAACTGTTGTGTTTCTAGGGCCAAACGTTTAGCCAGTTTCATCACCCTTGCTTAGGATTCACTATGTCCCCATGGGGACCTGAATACTTGTGGTGAGGCCCAGTACAAGTTGAAAAAGGAAGTGACCCAGCAATTCTAGCTCTACTTTTTCTTAATGAATCTGGAAAAATTTTCCATACTTACCCGCCAAAAATATTTCCTGTTGGCATTCTTGGGAACTGTATCGTTGGTGTAGATTTCACCTATTAGAGGTCCAAATCTTGTTCCCTTTGGTATATATTCTTTACTTACTACTCCAATAACCTAAAGGAGGTAAAGCATATGAAATAATTACTTTGACTGCAATATATTAATCAATCTTTTTATTTTTATGAGATGTCAAGTGGTAATGCAACCAACAACGACAAATTATGATATGGTGCCTATATAATTAATAATGTGCTTCACCTTACGGGAAGACCATTTTTTTGGAGGGCTGGGTGGGGGGGGACGACCATTTTTAAACTCCCAGATCATAAACAAATATTCAACCAAGCATTAAAATAGTCGCAGCAGTTCTCAACCTGTGGGTCGCGAACAATGAACATATATCCTGCATATCAGATACTTACATGACGATTCATAACAGTAGCAAAATTAGTTATGAAGTAGCAACGAAAATAATTCTATGGTTGGGGTCATCACAACATGAGGAACTGTATTAAAGGGTCGTGGCATTAGGAAGGTGGAGAACCACTTATTCTCCAGTGACTGAGGGTCTTTTATTTTTTATATTAGAAGAACAGAGAGGTAGCCATTCTGCTTTAGAACACAGAATTAGATGGTCAAGGTTAGACCAATTCAGCCCGCTCCTAGTTTCTTATTTCTCCTCTCCTTCAAACCATAAACACAGTGTGCTTGAGGGGAATAAAGTAGTTTTAACCTCAGAAACCAAAAAAATGCTCTCTGGTTGTTCCACAAAGGCCTGAGGAACCAGAAACCAAACACATTCTATTTTTTTTTCAACCCAGATGAGGGTGTTGCTTTTTTATTTTTTTCCGTCATAGCTTGTAAGTTCTCTTTATAAGAAAGATCTTTCAAAGTAACTTTTGTTTTTTTCTAGCATCTTCTACTCAACAGTGGTCAGAGTCCTCCTTTGAAATGAAATTTATACTGAGGAGGGTTGTGGGTTCTGAGAGCCCGGGTTCTAAGATCAGAGGAAGTGACCTTCTCAGACGGCATGTATCACACATTCTGACTTTGTAGGGTTTTACTAAAGAAACATGTTAACTATGCCAGTTCCTCCTTGATCGTAAATTTTTTTAAGGGGGTGAAAAAAAAGTCACCAACCACGAATCAGGAAGCAATTCATCACTATTGACAAAACTCCTCTGTAAATAGTTCTTTATAATAACATTTTGCAATTATAGTTTTGTTTTGGTTTTTATACACTCACTTTCCCATTTTTATTTTCTTCACATCCAAAAAAAGCCTACAACTTAGTTACTAAATGCCATACTGAAATGGACCAAGATGGGAGGTAAAAGACAATATTTGTTTCTAGTTTTTATTATCCCTGGCGGTTCCTGCTTAATTGTGTAACTGAAATGGAGGCTGGAATATGTAAATCAATAAATGTTCACAAAGAAATCTAAGATTTTGGTTATGATATGCACTGACACTTCATTAAATTGCATTAAGAGTTCAAACCTCTGTTTAAATGCATATAGAGTAGGCACACTTCTTTTTATATACATTTCTTATCAGCCAATAATTTTTAAATTTATTTGAATTTTATTTATTATTTTTAATATTTTTATTATTCAATATATAAGCCAATGGAACATACATAGACTGGAAAGACAGAAAAAAATTTTCTACCCCTAACACAAGTTGAAACAAGGTTGGTCAGCTCGAATGTTATTTTTGGTCATTTATGAATTTCTGGCAGACAGGTGAAAAAAGCAGATGTTCATTTCATCCTCTTCCTCTGCCTTCATTTACATCCATCTGCCCTTTCAATCACAGTTCGTCATTATTGGTATTTGTTGGCAGTACAACTACTGGAGACAGGAGTACCTCAGAACAGTCTTAAGATAAAAACATATACTAAAGCTTAAGTGGACTTACTTATTCAGAGGCTCATGGTTTATAATACATCATAGAACCTAATTAATTAGAAAAATTCATGGAATTGATTTCTATGACACGCAAACCATTTGGCATTCATGTTTGAGTGATTGTTCCATAATATTAAAATGACAAACAGGAAAAACAAATAATGTCATTTGTTGGTGAGCCAATAATTAGCAGTTGATATTTTCAACATATCCACTTTAAAGCAGTAATTTTAAGAAAGGTACTCAACTGGTTCATCAACTTTGTTTTAAATTATAGTCTCTGGCAGACAGTGTCTTAGGAGTCAGAGCTTGATTACCAACAAGGAGCCTTGCATTGAGGTCAGGGCTTTTCTTCCGAATTGCCATTCTTTTTAACCCCGGGCCTCTTGGTTTTCAGATACCAATCTCACATTAAGAAAACACATCATGTTCTTATGGACAAAGGCCACCTAGAAATCTAAGGCAGATACAAGCCACCCAATACCTATTTGAGCAATATGGGCGAATCACTGGGGAAGCTATAAGGCACTATTAGAGGTAACTCTTCCCATCTGTAACCTTACAAATGCCATACAGCAGGCAAGACAGGAGAACAACTGGACAGAGGAAGGTGTGTGGTGGAAGAGAGATCTATGGAAATCCCTAAGCCCCAAACAAACAAAAGAACCTCGATATTAGATTAACTTTACAAGTGGGGCAGAGTCTTAATATTTTAATTGCGTATAACACACAAAACTGTAGGATACAAATAAGCTCATGTATGTTGATCAATAGAGACACAAGATCACAGAATTTTTAGGTGGGAAGGAATTGTGTAGCTAATATGCCATCTATATCCGTGCTCAGTCCAATACTCTAATACACAATAAAAACCTTCAAATCCATGTCTGAGACATTATTCAAAGAGGACATAACAGCTGCAACTCCAAGATTACAGTACTCAGCCAGGTAACTAGGAATGGGAATAGGAACTGAGGGTTTTTCTTAAATGGGAAGTGGAAGACTAGGTCACAGTCTGCCTCCCGCCCTGGAAAGATGCAGCCAGACGTGAAGCTTAGCCAACAACATTCCATCCTTGGAGCAGGCACAAGACACAGAGGAGCCTGGTGTGTGCCCTAACTAACCCTTGCAGTGCTAAGAAGACTAAGAATGTGTTCACCTCGGATCAGGAAGGAAGCGTCACTGGAACTGACCAGGGTCCTAAAGAATTTCTGCTGGGGACAGGCTGCTGTTCACCTTCCATAAACCTATCAGCGAGGCCATGCTGGCCTCAACACTTCTTGCCCCCAGAAGCTCTTCAATGTCATGGGTTATGTGAGGAGCCGACCCCTCTGCCACATGAGCAGACCCATCTCTGTCAGTGGCCCCAGTCACAGAACACTCAGGTCGGTGACTACTAGACAAAATGAAGATTTCACAACTTAGGATGGATGAGGTGGGGGTGGGGGAGAAATAAAAATCTGATAGCAAGGAGAATGTAAGTTTTTTGTTTGTTGTTTAAAGCAATTCCTCCTTTAGGGAGTGTATACACACACACACACACACAGTAGTGGGTTTTAACCAGAAACAGCATTCAGGTCTAAATGTGCTGTGAGCATCCTCAGCCCAGATGCCATTAAGATCATTTTAATTACTAGTTATCTCTCCCCTTCCTCACCCCCACCCCCATAAAATGCCTCATTCGATTACAATTATAAGGATTATCTGCAATGAGATGACTAGAACTGTTGTGGACCACGACTTCAGCTGGTAATGCACCTCATTTTTTTAAAAAAGGGGTGGAGCGAATGGAGATGTTTTTAGAAGGTTTCCTCCTTAATTATCTTTGTATTAAAGGAAAGGTTGTAATGCCTCAGTACATGTCTCCCAAATAAAAGGCAGCAGGAAGAAAAGAGAATTGCACATTATGGCAAGACACTCTTTACAGATAGCCTGAGTGAATAAAGGACTTCAAGCCAAGTGGACACTGAGGGAGTCCCCATCATCCACAGGGATGTTTGTCACCACATGGCTCTGGGAGGTCACACTGAGCCACAGCGCTCCTAGAACACGAACGATTTCAGCACAGGCTACCACTTCTAAAATATAAACGTTTAAATGGACCTTTCTGTATTCAAATATTCATAGAAAATTATTTCAGGAGGACAAGGGGAAAATCCCCCTAAAAGAATAACCCATCAGTTAAAAAAGTTTAAACAGTTTTGAATACTATGTCTATATTTGGTTTGAGTTCTGGAAATAGGAAGTAAGAACAGCCTCATTAAAGATACAAAATGATTCTAAACCAACTCTAAAAATGAGGGTCAAGATCAGAAACATGGTTTGTATGTTTTGTTTTTAAACCAAAAGAAAAAAAAAGGTGCTGACACATAGCACAAATTCATAATGAAAAATGGTCTTGCTAAAAAAAAATCCCCAAGTATGTCAGCACAACAGTACATAATGTGGTATCTTCTGCTACTTAAATGAAAACATTTAAAGAAGGGCAAGTTAAATCAGTAAAATCAGTCAGATAAAAACTACATGTAGAAAGGCGCGCTTTTTTTTTGCCTATTTCCACAGCTTGTGGGACTGAAGGACTAACTGAATAATGACAGTGTAAACAGTTCATCGGTCCTAAAGGTCTGTTTGAGAGCTGGTTTGCAGCAAGCACGTCCTCAATGGCCCAATCCAACAGTCCTCCTTCACCACCTTAAGGGAGCTGTCCTTCCCCAAAGTTCAAAAAGGGAGAAACAGAAAAACAGGTACAAATTCCAGAGTGAGCTTCAGACAGTATTGCATTTAAGTTGGTTTCCTGGTTGCTTTTAAGATTAGGAACTGAAGATGTACAATTTTAATCAAGTGTTTCAGTTACATAAAATACGGGAAAAAGAATAAGAGAGTCCTGATCTCTTATTAGGTTAGTGTTGAAGGACCCTCTTTAGGAATACAGGCACAGCATTTTCCCTTTTTCTGTTTTTTTTTTTTTTTTTGGTGTGAACATACTGAAGTAGGGAGTTAAATGTTCAGGAGAAAAGAAAAAGAGCCAAACCAGCTGAATAAAAGATTGGTCTGAAATATGTTCGACTAAAAATAAAGCCACAGTGACACCAAGAGGGGCCAGTGTAGCATAATCAAAGAGCACTAGAGCACTGGCTGGGGAAGTCAGAACTTTGCTCTCTCCAAGTCTCGGCTCTGGCTCTAACTATCCACTTTGGGTAAGTGGCTATCTTTTCGAACCTTGGACTACATGGTCGAAGGGCATTACTAAATGTAGCTATGATTTTAAGTCAAATGATGGAAAATGAAAAACTGCAGCTGAGCACTGAACTGAGGATAAGAACACTGTAGAATTAAACGGCAAAGATCACCCACAGAATAGAAATTTCTTTCAGTCCCAATGGGTGGACAGGGCAATACAGCACAAATGAACCTGGGAACAGACCAACATTTGGTCAAATATGATATGGGGGGGCGGCGGGGGGGGGGGGGGAAAGGGGGGGGGGGGGAACACATTGCCGCTTTTAAAGCCACAGCCAAACCTTAAATACCCAAACAAGTCCTACATTGATTCCCGGGGCCACATAGTAAGAGACTTTCTATTGAGAACAGTGTTTCCTGTAGAAAGAGGTATAATTAAGGCAGATCTCTGGGGTTACATTTTTAGGAATGTTCACGTACTGCTACCATTTAAATTTTGTTTTTTTATAAAACCGGCCTCTGCTCTCCCAGTAGGGAAAAGAAAAAGCTTGCTTTATGATGAAACTCAAAAAGCAGAGTTGCTCTATTTAATTTCAGACAGCTGTGTCTCCCCCTCACCAAAAACAGGGAACTCGGGCACAAACAGGAAAGAGACAAAGTATTTCCCAAACTGGCTCCCTGGATCCTTCCACTGCTGTTCCTTAGGGAAGGAAGAGAGCGACCGGCCATGGCTACCATGAAGAGTCCCAGTACTGAACTGCGGATTCCTACAGCAAAGGATCCCCTTTTCACTGCTCTGTGGAGGCCATCACAGAACTAACAGTGGCTTGAGGTCATGCTGGTGGTGGGAAGTCTGTTGAGCTGTCGATTCCTTCCACTCAGCCCAGTAGTGAGAGCAACTGCGCTAGCCCAACGCTCAAAACAAGAGGTGGTTCTGCAAGTTAATTCACAGCTACACATCACGCCTCGCTGTAATCGTTATATAAAAGGGTACCCACAAATCCTTTGCTCATTCCAAGTTGGGGTTTTCAGCCCCTTTGAAACAACAAAGAGTGTACCCACTTCAGAAGCCAGTAAGGAATCGGCCTGGCGGGTCGAGGCAGCTGGAGCCAAGGGCCGCCTCGGAGCCACAGTGGTGAGCGCTGAGGTCATCCGCACAGAGGACACTTTTACATGACCCTCATCCCGGTTTATGCCATCACTCCAGTTCATAAACACCTCCTGGTTTTGAGAATAATTTTAGAAACCCAGCCAATAAAGCTGGCTCGTTAAAAAGAATAAAGCCATCTAATGATCCAAAGGAGACAAAAGAAACACGGCCAAGTTTTTTTCTTAGAAAAAGTTTTCTCCCTCAAAAGCTGTTGTGCACCTTGGGGGCCCGGGGCCCGTTGGGCCCAGAGTGGCCGGCAGCTCCCTGACAAACCCCACGCTGCAGCTGAGCTTTGCCAAGACATGTCAAGTTGCCAAAAGGTTTAACTGTTTACTAATTAGTATGGAACAGTGGAGGGCTGGAGGAAGTGAGC